AAATGCTTGGATCGACTGCCATGAGGTTACGAAAAAGTAGGTGGTTGATTCGCTGGAAAACTCGCCGTCGGTGACGTGCAACCACTTAGGTTTTGTAGTTGGAATGTAGAGGAGGGATGAGAGACTCAAAACAAAATGGAAGCTGGGGTTGGAAGGCTGGAGGAAGTGAGAGAATGTGTAGGTTGGAATGATGCTCTCAAATGGTGTTTTTACCTATTCAAGTGACCTGGAGTTGGGTGGACGATCTTGATGCTTCAGAGGTCTCTCTTGGATGTTAAACATGTGTCCCAAGTCGTTGGGTGGTAGAGGGAAAGGCTAGAAAATGCCATTGGTTAGTTTAGGGAGATGGTGGGACCACTTTCCTTTTTGGGCTAAACCAAGGGCTAAACTGAGTTGAAAGCCTATCAGAGAGCTTTAGCTCTCATTTGGGACTAACCCAGTCGCCAAAATCAGTGGGTAATGGGTTCACAAGTGAGTTTGATAATGGAGTTCCACTTTTAACCCCTTGTTGACCATGTTGACCAGTCAAAAGGTCAAGAGAGGCTGAGGTGGCAGTGAGAGGGTATGGGGAGCAGGTTGGATTAGGTCCAAGTCTAAAGCCAAAGCTCTTGGGGTCAAAGGGAGGATTTGATCACCTCAAAGAGGGGTTTAAATGACTTCTTGACTGATTTTACCAATCAATAAAATCAAAATTTCCAATGTGGAAGCTAGGAGAGGTAGGGAGTTATTTGGGGTGGCTTAGGCAAGGGTCAAAGGTCAAGTTCAAGGCTAGAGTGAGTGGGAGCAAACGCCAAAGAGGTTTGGACCTAAGATTGAGAGTTGACTTGGTCAACTAAAGTTGGGTTGGGCTGACCAAATGCCAAGTCATGCCTAAGCCATATCTAGGAGTTAAATTGAATGGGTAATAGGGGTTGGAGAGCTCAAATGAGTTAGTTTAACTCATTTAGACCCCTTAAGGGTTAATGGGTCAACATTGGTTGACTTGGTCAACCAAGTTGTCTCAAGACTTGGTTTTGGATCAAATAAATTTGTTTGGATGTTTGGAGTCTAATGGGTGTGGTTTCAAGATTTGGAAAGGTCATTTTGGTCAAATGACCCATTTTGGGCTCTTAATGAGTCATTAGGTCAACTTAAGTTGACTTGGTCAACCAAGTTGACCCGAGTTCAAAGATTGGGATCAACAAGTTTGAAATGATATTTTGAATGTGTTGGAAGATGTTTCAAGCCATGGGGAGGTCATTCCAGTCAAAATGATTGTTTTGACTCTTAAGGGGCCTTTAGGTCAAACTAGGTTGGCATGATCAACCAAGCTGACCCAATATTTGAAATTGGGTCTAATAGGTTCCAAATAGTGTTTGAAAATGATTGGAGGAGATTTCAAGCGTTGATGAGGTCAAGTCAAATTGGATTTTGGTCAAAAGTCCAAAAATCCCCTTAAAGGGCATTTTGGTCATTTTGGCCTCAAGTTCATTCTGGGTCAAAGTGAATCCAAAAAATGTAAATTACTGCTTAAAAAGTCAATATCAAAGGCTTGGAAGGGATCAGAAGGTTTGGAGAGGACTCCAAGGTCAGATTCCATTTGTTGATAGGTATAGTGGCATGGGTGGTAAATATTTGAAGGTTTTAAAACCTTTGGAATTGAGTTTAGTTTATGGGGTTAGAGATATCAGATTGAGCTCAAACTTGGAGGGCTGACCCCTAACATATGTCTTATCAATATACAATTGACAGATCCTAAATCAGGGGTCAATTGATTGGGCTTCAAGGTGACAAAAAAATTGCCTAAAGTGGGTTTCAGGACTTGAGTCCTTAACCCAAAGATTTGGTTTGGAATGCTGGGTTTGGATTGATCTAAGATCTAAGTTGATCCTAAGGTCTGGAGACTGGAAGGATCCTAGGGTCTAGGAAATCCTAGGGCTTAGAGTTTAAGAAAGTTTCAAAGTGATCTCATACAAAAATGAGGTCAACACACAACCATACATACAATTATAAACTGAACAATCAGTATTCAACTTAAAAGTGTTATGAGGAGGTTTTAACTAATAAATCAATTTTTGGTAGTCCAAAAAACTGTCATTACGAAGAACAATGCCAAAATTATGAGCAATAAAGAAGTAATTCCTTTTTTTTTTGGTTCAAGAGGTTAACACTAAAAAGCTTATGCACTTTGTCTTTAATATTCTGAATAATGATGAGGTAATCCGAGCAAGGTATTGTTGAAAAGGGAATTATTTCTAGCATTCCACAAATACCATAGAATAAGGGAAGGAATCAAATTTCTAATATGACCTTTCAAGTTAATAAATCATTAATCCAACAAATTATTAATGGATAGGTGAGCATTAAAAACATTTAACTTGCACATATCTTCAAAGTAGACCCAAATTCTAGTAACAATAGGACCCTAAATGAATACATGATGAATAGATTCCACATGATAGCAGCATTATCACTTAGAAGTTACAATGAAACCTCTCTTCCTTAAAATATCATCAGTAGGAATATAATTGTGCATAATTCTCAATTAGAATCCATATTTATTTGCAGATTAAGAATTCTAGAAATAACATCCTCAGGAATCATATCAACAAGTTTATTATAGTCCCAATTATTATCCGTGATAAAATGGTCCACCTTAATGGCACTAGTAGTAAAAGTATTAAGAATAGAGTCAATGGACTAATTACCAAGCCATTGGTCATGCCAAAAGAAGAGGTTAGCTCTACCAAGACCCCATTTAACATGAGGTTCGACTTTCCACTTGATACTACAAAGCCTTTTTCAAACCCTGGAGTCACTTATATTATAAGAACACACAGTAGGATGCTCACCAACACAATATTTTTTAGTCATAAACTTAGCCCAAAGAGAAAGTTTCGACCTAAAATTAAACCACAATTTAAAAGAAAATGCCTCAGAAAGATCATACATATTCTTGAAATCCAACCTGCCTTCTTCAAATGTACCACAATAATTAGTCCAAGAAGACCAAAGAACTTTAGAATTCACATTAGAACCATGCAAAAAAAAAAACTTTTTTTTTAAATAATTTTTCAAACATATTACAAACAGGTAAGGAACACAAAACACTTTTAATAAGGACTAATCTCTCACCACAATAACAACAACAACAACATCAAGCCTTTATCCCACTACGTAGGGTCGGCTATATGAATCCTTTTTCTCCATTGTGTCTTATTAACAGTCAAATTCTCGTTTAAATCTAATAAAGAACTTGAATTTTGTTGATAATATCCCCATCTATTTCCCCATCACTCTGAACAATAGATCCAAGATATCTAAAATGTGTACTCTTATTAATGACTTGATCGCCCAAAGTCACAATCCCCTCACTAGGTCTATTACTACTAAAATTACATTCCATATATTCCGTTTTAGATCTACTCAAGTGAAAACCTTTAGTCTCTAAGGTTGACCTCCATAATTCAAGTTTACCTTCAACTCCCTCTCTAGTCTTATCAACAAGAAGAATATCATCAGAAAAAAGCATATACCAAGGTACATCCTCTTGCAAATATCTAGTGAGAACATCCATGACTAAAGCAAAAAAGATATGGGCTTAAGGCTAATCCTTGATGTAACCCAACCGAAATAGGAAAATACTTGGTCAGTCCATCTTGTGTTTAAATCCTAAACTATCAATTTCCTTAGTCTTCTCTCCAACCCATTTAGTTTTCTGAATGCACAAAATATTTAACTTCCTATGAATCATAATATCTATTAATTCCATTAATTTTTCTATAAGGGAATTAACCTATATTCCAAGTTCCTATCCTAATTTTAGTTTCATGGACTAGCTTCTTTGCCCACATCCGTCGTTGATGTGGGAACCCTTGCCTATTTAACACTGCACCCGGACGCCGGTCCAGCGGTCCTTGCACACTTGTCACTACATTAAGGCCATACAGCGTGTCGCTTCCAGGGGACGCCCTAGCATTAACATAATTTCTTAAAGGATTCAAGTCATTATTGTTCGACAAGTCGACAGCCAACGCAACCCTCCACTTTTCTCATCCAGGACTTGGGACTTGACAACGACAGTGTTAAGGACTAATCTCTCACCAAAACTAAGAAAATTAGAATTCTAAGAATTCAGCTTTTTCTGCACATAAGTAATAAGCTCATCAAAGAAAAAGTTTTTCTTCCTACCCTTGTATAAGGGGCCCCTCTAAATACTTAGTTGGTAAAGTACCTTGTAAAAAACTAGTACTATTCCTAATGGACATAATCCAATCATGAGGAACCTTGTTGTACACAATAAAGGAACTCTTACTCTTGTTGAGACCTTTAATTTGACTATAAGTTTATTAAAACCAGGGTTTGGATAATCTTGAATTTAATTATGAATATTTTCAATTCAAATATACATCGAGATTCATATCCAATCAAGTAAACTTCTATAATATATTGTCATTTATTTGTAATGCATTACACTAGATGCAAAAAGCCAAAATACCCCTTAGAACATAATACATGTGCATCCTCTTTGCATAAAATTTAATATAAAATATGTTACACATACAATTTAGCCTCTTTATGTTATATTGTTACCAAAATTGCCCCGAAATTCCAAAGGCTTTGTTTGAGGTAGCTTTCTTACTACTTTCTAAAGCAACTTTTTAATACAAAATTTTCTATTTAAAAAAAAAAATTGTATTAAAAAACTACTAAAAAAAAACAGTTAAAAAACTTTCCCAAACAAAAACAAAATAAATGTAGATAACATGGTTCCGTCTAGCAACTTTTACCTTGATGCCAAAGGAAAGCAAAATACCACTTCATTATAAACACAAGCACCATGCAGAAATCTTATTCAAATCTGAAACAAAAAATACAATAAACATCTCATTCTTTTTCCAATCTCTATCAGATAAGAAATAACACCCAACAACAAAGCATGAACACATAATAAAAGCGTTCATCCAACATCAATAACTCACCAAGTTCACAATCTCATGAATATGAATTCAATCAACATTTTAATGATTAACCCTCCTGCAAATTTTCCTAATTTCACCATGAGACCCGGTAAGTGGGGAAATATTGCCCATCTTAACTATGGACTTGGCAAACTGCTTAAAGAAGTGCTCATTACTCTCAGCAAATTTGGTCACCAGTTTCTTTGTCTCCTCACTTTTTGTGAAGAGAACCTCATCAGAGCTCAGAAGACCTTTCTTCGCTATAATGTTCTTGTAGTATTGATTGTCAAACTTAGTCGGGCTGATGAAGTCGAGGGAGAAGATGGTTTGGTCGCCGCCGGATATCGGGCATCGGGTTCGTAGTTTAGCTGCGTAAGTCTGATCCAACGTATTATCGGGTAGCCCGTTTCCGGTTTGGTTGTAGAGTCGCTGGCGGAAGCTGGTGCACCGTGATTTTCCGATCGTGTGGCTTCCTATAGCCATGCATCCATTATTATGTTTTTTTTCAAAACTTATTTCTATTTATTGGAAGAATAACCCTACACTTAAAATATACATAATTTAATATTTCTTTCTGCAAAGTAGTCTTGTTGTGGGCCAACATTGCCTCATTGGAATCACAAATCTATGAAGCCAAGCTTATTTAATTTAAAAAAAAAACTCTAGCTTACTTTGGTTCTCTTATTCTTTTTTTTTTAATTGAATTTTATTTATATAAATATTGTATAAAAATATTATTTTGTGCAAAACTTTATAAGTTTATGAAAATATTAAAAAAAGTTATTCTAAAATAAAAATATATAAACATCATTGCATTTGAACAAGGCTTAAATTTAAATGGCTTAATAATGAGATAAACTATTACCCAACAGTCCTTCAAAGCTGATAATTGCGCACAGCTGACACACTCCATGGCTAGATAATAATTTAGTACTAGGAAATGACATCTACAGCTAATAAATTTGTACAAATTATAAATTAATGCATCATCATCACATTTCTAAAAATTAATTATCAGAAAGTTTATAATATATATTTAAAATTAGAAATATTTTCTTACTTTTTTGAAAAAAATATTTATTTAAAAAAATCAAAATTTCATAATTATATGATAAATATTTTAAGTGGCTTTAATGTCATCCCGATGATGATCATGTTTATAAAAAATCTCAACCGAAATAAAATTACATAATTTTAAAATTAAATTACTTTGAATCTAAATTTCAATAAGAATATGAAAAATCTTTTTATATTTTAATTATAAAATATTTTATCATGTCAATATTCTAATATAAAATATATTGAAATAAGAGAGGAAATTACCAGAGAGGGCAACAACATCCACCACATTGAGTCCTTGCCTCTTGAACTTGGTAATAATTGTGTTGAGAGTATTATTTGGTGCTGGAATGTCATTATTGGAGCCACTCAAACTGGCACTTCTGGAGTCTCTTCTCCCTAAAGGAACCACCCAATTTGGTCCGCCAGTCTATTATACACAATCAATGCATTCAAAATACATAACAAAATATTTCATAAAATAAAAGAAAATTAATTTTCAATGAGATTTAATTATGCTTTTGGATATTGGGTTCTTTTATTATAAATGAAGATGATAAATATTAATTTTATAAATGGTCAAATCATGAATTTTATTTAAAAAATTGGCAAAAAATAATAAGGCAAATCACACACTAAGGGCATCTCCAACGGAGAACTTCATTTTTCACGCCAAAATACCGCAAAACACAAAAATGGCATGGTGCTGCTCCAATCGAACGCCATTTTTTTGCTTCTGCGTGAAGGTAACGATCATTCTCCTTTGACGTGTTTTTCATGTTGAGAGAGGAAAATAGCGTGGGTGAACAGTGCAACGTCAATATTGATGTTGCACTGTTCACCCGCAAGCAAATGACGGAAGTTTTGACGTTCGGCTAGAGCGACCGAACGACGCCAAATACTCATTTGACGTTTGGTTGGAGATGGTCTAAATAATTGGTTAAGTGGGCTCACCAAGACTGTTCCATCCCTAGCGGCCAGAGTCAAGATGTCGGCACATGATACAGTCTCCGGACATGTCTTTTCTACTGTGGCTTTGATCTTGTCAATTATCTCAAAGCCTCTGGCCGAGTCACGATTCGGTACGGATCGTTTCTCGCTCAAAAAGGCACCACTGCTATCGAGTAATATGGATCCATCACAGCCCTGCAATGGCATTCAGAAACATTGATAGACAAGACATTTTGTTCTTTTTATATTGCACTAATCTAAAAGCAAATCAATCAATATTATTTTCCCTATTTTTCCCCATTATCATGCAAGCATTTACAAACCTTAACAAAACAATCATGAAAATGAAGCCTGAGGATTGAAGCAGCCCATCTTGGGTTCTCTGAAACAGCTTCAGCCATGCCTTTCTTAACTATGTCCTCAACCCTAGGACATGAATGCTCATAGAACTTGGGATGGAGCTTAGCTCCACCATTACCAACCTGTCCAAAGCACAAAGGATAAGAGAAAACAAGAAGGGAGAGAAGAAGAAGAAGAAGAGGAGAGCTCAATGAAAAACTCATCTCTCTTGTTGATAATGTGGATGGTTAAAACCTTATTCTTTCTTGTCCTGAATGAAAAGTCTATGTAGCCAATAGGGTATTTATAATAGGCATGAAAGAATACAATGTGCTGCCTTGAAGGATAGAGCAAAGGTGGGACCCCTTCAATTATACTTACATATAATATAATGTATAAGTGTTAATTAATGTACACATATTATATGATGTTTCCCAATAGTTTGTATTTTTTTTACTTTCATAGAAGAGATGGATGAAGATGAAGCTAGCCATGAAAATAAAGAGGTGAGAAAGAAGAGTTGGTAGATGTCTTTTGTCTTATTTACATATCTATATTGATTTTCTTTGTGTCTTGTCCTTGATATCATGAACTACTAGTACCACAAAAGATCATGGTGCTTCTTTAGATGATTATTATAGAAAAATAGTGCATTAATAAAGAATATGAGGATGGAAAGAGCAAAGATTGACACTTCTCCAACCCCTAGATCAACCAAATGCATGCATTAACTTTTTATTTGTAAAAATAATTTATCAATCAATAATACATGAAATTTTGGGATAAAAAAAGTATTTTAAAATTGTAAAATTTAGTTTTGAAATGAATGTAGTATATAAAAAATTAATCAAATTTTATATTGAATTCAATTTAAAATAAATGAAACGATTTTTAAATTGATATGAATGAAAATTTGATCAATATATTATGAGATGGGAGGTTAAAATGGGTGAATGGTAGGGGTGTCAATTTTTGACACGACACGAAACACGACCCGAACCCGACCCGGAAAAATCCGGGTTCGGGTCAACCCAAACCCGAAACGGGTCGGGTTCAGGTTCATGAAATCAACCCGTTTTAAAAACCGGGTCGGGTTCGGGTTGACTCGCCAACCCGAAATTGACCCGAAAGTGACCCGAAAGTGACACGAAAACTCATTTTTGACCCGAAAACCAGAGATTGACCCGTTTTTTACCTGATTTTGACCCGAAAACCCGAGATTGACCCGAAAATTAGCAATTTTGGGTCATTCGTGTCGGGTCGGGTTGACCCGGACCCGAATCGGGTCGGGTTCGGGTCCAGAAACCTGACCCGTTTTTAAAAACGGGTCGGGTTCGGGTTGACCCGAACAGTGCCGGGTCAATTTCGGGTTCGACCCGAACCCGACCCGTTGACCCGAATTGACACCCCTAGTGAATGGGTAGTGTTCTGGTAAAATCCAAAATTGATTTGACCAGACTTTTGTCAACTCAAACCACAGTCATTTAATAAACGAGTTTAAATGATGAACTCGAACTCAACCCATTGGCAACTTGAATGACCTGATTTCAACCTGATAATGATTGTAAGATTAAAAAAAAAACTTTTATAAAATGTCATTATAGAGTTTAGGTGAAAAAAATAAGACGTTTATATTAGCAAACAAAAGAATTTAAGACAATAAATTAAACAAGTCACTTTAAGGTCAAAAGCTGGTTTGCGGGTCAACCCGAGCCTATCTCATTTAATAAACGAGTTGGAATTCTATACTCGAATATGACCCGTTTATTAAATGACTTAACTCAAACCCAAACTTTTTGGGCAAGGTCTGGGTCGAATTCATAGATTGAGTCATTCTCTTAAAATTTATTTAGATTTTGAGCGCAATGTTGATGAAATTTCTTTTCTTTGATTAGTCATCAATGAAAAATTAATCAGTAATAAAAAATATTGTACCTAAATGAAAACAAATAATATTTTTTAAGAAAGTTGAGTTTATATTTTAAGGCTATTTCTTGAGTTAGTATTGCAAGGAAATGAAGAATGTCTTAGGTAGGATTAGGAGTAGCAATTAGGTGTCCTGCTCTTTACAAGATCAGAATTAGGAAATATGGCATGCGTGAGCTTTAGGAACTATAGCCAACTAACCTCTGAATGATTATGACCTTTAATGTAGCAACTAATTCAATAGCGATGGAACAAAATTGCCATTGTAATAAATGGAAAATAAATTGAATAGTTGGTACATGTCATTAAATATTTGTGAAAAATAAATAATAGAGAGAGGTTAAGGACGTACTTGTGGGCAAATTTTTCATGAGAAATGTGTTTTCTTTCTATCATTATCTATATTTTCTTTATATTTAGATTGTTTAGGACGGCTTTCTTCTGGCTTTCTAAGCAACTTTTTAGTACAAAAATTTCAAGAATTTGAAATTTTGTACAAGAAAGTTGTTTTAAAATGCAGTATGAAAGCTGTCCCAAACGAAGCCGAGACGACTTTCTTGTTGCTTCTTAAGACAGCTTTCTAGTATAAAAATTTTAACTTTTGTTCTAAAAAGCTGGTTTAAGAAGGAACAAAAAAGCCATTGCAAATAAAGCCTTAGACTTCGTTTTGGACAATTTTTTCACTGTTCTTAAAGCAGCTTTCAATTACAAAAATGAAATTTTTTGTGCTAAAAAGTTGCTTTGAGAAGCAATAAGAAAGCCATCCTAAATGAAACCTCAGTCTTCATTTGAGGCAACTTTCTTATTTCTTTATAAATCAACTCTTTAGTCAAAAAAATTTTGTACTAAAAAAATATTTTAAGAAGCAGTTAAAAGCTATCCCAAATAAAATCTTAGACATTACAATACTCTTGAGATATGGTTAAATTTTTGTAAAGTAATGCAAATAAATATTAGGATGGCATTTATTATTACATTTATAAAAAATCTTAGTACAGTGCTAGAATTGGATTTTTCTAATAATATTTTTGAATAGAGTGTCCATCAATTATGTAACTGAAAGATGATTGATTAAAAAGGGATGATTTTTTATTTTTTTTTGCAAAATATTGGAGAAAAAGGGAGATTTAACCATGTTTTTACTAAACAATGATTAATAATTTTAATAATACATCAAAAGTTAATTACACTTCTTCAATAAGATTGGCCTTTGGGTTATTATTTTAAACATTTGTGACATAAACATGATGTTGTATTTTCATATATAATTTATTACAATTGCTATATATTTATAGTTGAGATTAGTAGCAATTAATTTTGTGAAATAACATCATTATTAAGAATTTTATTCTTTATTATGTTTTATGTTATTGTTCGATTCTCTTGTCCCTATATAGGTAGGCTTTTGTGAGAGTAACTATCAAATAAAGATGCAGCCTATTATCTTAACATGATATCAGAGCCTTGATACAGTCCCTTTATCTTCTATTGTCCCAGCCCAATCCAAAAATACTCACAGACTGAACAAGTCATATCATATTGGCTTGTAACAGATAAACCTCAAGATTTAAATTTTCAAAATGAATCAGATTTTCCTCCAAATTTTAACTTCAAAATTATTGTAAACATAGAGCTACTAACAAGATCTTGAGTATTGAAAATAAACTCATTTATAAAAAAATCATCTTTTTATTTATCATCAAAATGTATAAACAACTACAGTACATGACTACAGACTGAGATACATAACAGAGTAATAAAACTAGCCAAGACTTTCAAAAAATCAAAAGAAAAAAAATGCCTCTACAGACTCATATCAAATCTTAATACTAATATTTAATTAGCCATTTCCCTTTATCAGACCCTAAAACCAAAAGACGAAATAATGGCGAGCTAACACAGCTCAACAAGCCACTTCTGCTAATCTAAATTTCCAAACACATCTCATTTATTAAATGCACGGCTACATTTCAAAAGCATTTCATAATACTCATTGCACTAAATTGAATCATGCTTACATTTATTAGAAACTTAAATAGTAATAAAAAAAGCACTTCATATAATAGAGAAGAAATACTCTCAATGCTCGCACATATCATATATTTAGAAATTTATATCCTTATGATTCCCTATATATTCAGCACCAAAACATCCAACACATATAAGAACTTTCTAAAAATCACACAATTCAATCCCATAATTATATAATTCATTGCATTGTAGAAATTTAAGCATAAATAAGCTCATTTGAGAATTTCATATAATGGTATAACTATAGGCAATAAGATGTGCTATTGTATATAATTTATTGTTTTAGAATATAACTATGTTACTAGAAATTGTGCAGAAAATTATTTCAAACTTTTAATTGTATTACAACATTATTTTTTAGGTTTCAAATTATTTTTCAAACAGTTAACAAGGCTCACATTTCAAAACCATAGGTGTAAAATTGCCCGAAAAATATCTAAATGTTCAGAATCATTGTCTATGACTTACAAAAAGTTGCATAGTGTTAATTTTGTGGATAGAAAGTTATCTCTATTTTTTGCTCACAGAATTATAAATTAAATATAAAAATTAAAGAAATTTTTATATTTTTAAAAATTGAGTAGGCAAATTATGACCTACCTCAATTCAAACAACTTTCAAAACTGAGCCAGAAGTAGAAAATAAATTGAAGTCACCCAAAATGGACTTTCTCTCATTAAAATTCTTATCTTTCTCTCTCTAAGTCAGTTGCCTAATGAAGTATGTGAAATGGAATAATAAATTCATATATTATAATATAAAATTTTAACATGGCACCATGGTGCTACCTTTAAGGATTGATGTCATGCTTTATGTGTGCCATAGTGCTAAATTACTGCTGTAAAACTCAAGAGCACTTTCACTAGGGTGCTTCCAACCACAGTGTTGCGACGCCCCAAAAGGAAAAATTTTAGAATTTTCATACATGCAAATAGACCCCTGGGACCCTCTTCATAACATAATAAAGACTCACATGCACACAAAATATTTCCAAAGACGTGTAGAAGGATTCGAATGCAAAAAATTAACAATTTATCTTATTTAGATTAGGTTAGAATAGGTTAAACAAAATATTGAATATGGAGATGTTACACTTCTCTCCTAAAAAAAAGTCATTCTCGATATTTTAAAACTCAGAGCTAAGATCATAAGAATAAATTCAAATTCAACTGTCTCTTCATGGATTCCTTCTGTCAAGTATCTTCTCTTTTAGTTTTATTCTTCCATTGAACTTTAATCATCCGAATCTACTTATTCTTTAACTTTTAATATTATAGGCCAGAATCCTCTCTGGTTCTTCTCTATAGCTCAGACTCAGGCGCACCTTAACTTGTTCAATATACACACAATTTCTAGGGTCAGATAACCATTTCCTTAAAAATAATATATGGTATATTTATGAATTTCAATATGGAATAGGAAACAACTATGTAAAACCTCCCGGTCGCTAATGTTCAACTTTCACTAATTTGTAGGCTTCATATTTATATATAAAATCGGCTACTCCCTTTTTAATACAGGCAATCAAAATATACTTTTCATATTTTGGGGAATAATATAACTTTAATAATGAGTCTTGTACAAAATTTCTTATCTAAGATCTCTTGAACCATGAACTCACAATCCATTATTAGTGAAGATAACACCATAATAAATCAGTCAAAATTTGAATTTCTTACCAAATTTAAATTAATTAATCAACTTCAGATATTTTGTATCTCATTGCTAAAATTCATGAATCCTTTCTTGTAGGGATGTTTGAATGGTCATCTGAGTAAGTATATCAGAATCATGATCAATATGACATATCACTTCTAACTTAAGCATTTCTATACCCTGAATCATATATTATTCAGAAGTAAGTTGAATACTTGATAATATAAAAGATTACATGCTTAGAGCATCTATCATAATATTAATATTATTAGGTCGATACTAAATGGTCAAATCATAATCTTTAATCAGTTCAACCCATCTTCTTTTTCTCAAATTAAAATCTTTCTAAGTGAATATATACTTCAGACTCTTATGATTAATAAGAATTTAACACTTGACTCAACAATAATAATGTCACAAGATCTTCAAAGTAAATACCACTACTACAAGCCCTGGATTGTGTGTCAGATAGTTCATCTCATGTGGCTTTAACTTACTGGAAGCATAAGCTACAACTTCCATGTGTTGCATCAGTACGTATCCAAACCCTCTCATTGGTATTGCTAAATACCTAAAATTTGTCCGTACCAAAAGGAAGAGTTAAAATTAGGGCAAAAGTCAATTATTCCTTTAATATTTGAAAACTAGTCTCACACTTTGATGTCCTGATGAAAACTACTAACTTTTGAGTCAGCTTTGTTAGAGGTACAAAAATATGAGAGAATCATTTCACAAATTTTCTATAACATCAGTCAAACCTACAAAGTTATGTACCTCATATACTATAGTATGACTCAGCTAACTAGTAACAATCTGAATCTTCTAGGAATCTATAGAAATATATGCACTACTCACAACATGTCGCAAAAAAAAATGTTGTTCATCCAAAACTCATATTTGAAAATTTAGCATATAATTGATGCTATATCTGAGTCTCTAAAACTATCCTCAAATACAAAACGTGATCCTCCTTAAAAGTATAATAAACTAAAAATTAATCTATAAAAATAAAAAAAATCCAGATAATCTCAATGAAAATGGTTAGTTTATTAGTCACCCCAAAAGATATAACTAAAACTTATAATATGTTTATATAGTATTAAAAGTAGTCTTCTTCACATCGATCTCTCTGTCCTTTCCCTTATAATAACTAGATCTTAGATCATTCTTGAAAAATATAGAACATCCTACAAGTTGCTCAAATAAATCAATGATCCTTGGCACAGAGGATACTTGTTCTTAATAATGACTGTAATAATCCATATTTTAACTCAGTGAAATGTATTTTTTAGGAATCATTATAAATTTAAATCTCAAACCAATTTTTTCATAACATAAATATTGTAGTGTTTTAATTACTTTAAATTTTTCATATTTTTTTGGAATTAGTGCAAATTTTTAAGAAATAGATATTTGTTAGTACAAGTGGAGGATTTTGAGATCGTTAGTGTCTGGTTTGTAAACTGGTTTGACCAAAATTTTCTAAACATGATGAACTATTTTATTTATATTTTTTTAATAATTTTTAGGGCTTTGAATTTGAACATATAAGAGAATTTATATAAATTTTATACTAAAATAAAAAATTATATTATTACACTTATATTATATTATTATTTTATTATAAATATCTTAAACCCCTCAAATAATACATTAAAGTCTTTTATTTCCATTTATGTTAACTGAGAAATAAGAATGAATTTGAAAAGAAAAGCAAGTAGAGAAAAAATAGAAGCTAGAATTTAAAGATAACAAAATATTTTTTGTCAATTAGTCCTATTAGGAGATTTAACACTATCGTTGTCAGGTCCTAAGTTCTAAATGAGAAAAGTGGAGGGTTGCATTAGGTAGTCGACAATCAATATAAAACTTGTCAAATTATCATGAAATGAATTCTTTAAAAAATTGTGTAAATGCTTGGGCTTCCCCTGGAAGCGATGTGATGTATGACCTGAATATAGTGATAAGTGTGTAAGGGCCGCTCCAGCGACGCTCGAGTTCAGTGTTAAATAGGCAAGATTTTTTAGATCAAAGATATATGTGGGTAAAGAAGTTAGTACATGAAACTAAAATTAGGATATAAAATTGGAATATAGGTTATCTTAGAGGAAAATTAATATAGTTAATAAATATTATGATTCAAAGGAATATAAATATTCTGTGTATTCAAAAAATTATATGGGTTGGAGAGAAGGCTAAGGAGATTGATAATTTAGGTTTTAAACTATGGTATTCAGGTTTGAGTCATAGTAAAAATTTTGTGGGAGTGACTGTAGATAAAATTTTGAAAATAATGTTATAAAAATGAATAGAATTAGAGAAAGAATTATAGTTTTAATGATTGTTGTTGATGCTAAGATTGTTAATATTATAAGTGCTTATGCTCCTCAGGAACTTTTATTTAGTCCAGTGAACGTACGCTCCTCTGCGTTCGGCCACCAATGTATTCACGCCACGTAGCATGAAGAAAAGTCGCCGACCCGACCCGCTGTATTTTGGGTTATCGCACGTGTGAGTTTTTAAATGAAAGACATCCCAAACAGTTCGAATAGCAACCCTTCACCTTTTTACGACGATTCGAATCCCTGTTACTATTTACTTCCTTTGTAGTTTTCCAGCAATTCCTTCGGAGTTCTCCAGCATTTCCTTCGTAGTTCTCCAGCATTTCCTTCGTAGTTCTTCGTATTCTCCGGTCGAAAACCTTCGCAGATATAATGCCAAAGGTTTGAAACGATGGACTGAAAAATTTTCATTCTTATGATATTGTTTATCTCGTTAACAATCTAAAAATACGTATGTTTAGGGTTATGGTTAACATTTTTGGTTGTTTTTAAAACTCGGTACACATTCTAAAACTCTGTACTAATCGGTATTCTGTATTAGGTTCTGTTCGATTTTCTAGGTATAGGTCGGTACACGTCGTTACTAGATGATAAAACTCGGTACACATTTCTCAGACATGTTAGGTTTTCCTTAATAACGTTATACCATGTTGATTATTGCATCTCGGTACATCTAGGTACAAACCGGGTATACTTAGACAACAAATACAGTCGGTACAACTCGGTATAACTTATGTACCGAGCATTAAATTTTATTTAATGTTCAATATTACAGATCAGAATATATACTGGGTATAACTTGGTACTCGGTATACGTATGAATACCGAGCTATACCGAGTTCTCAAAAATCTCGGTACAACTTGGTACTCGGTATAACTCCGTACAACTCGGTATTCAACTGTAAAAATTGAGTATTATATATAAAAAATATATATTATCGGTGTATGTTACGATTTGGTTCAACTAGTAACACTCGGTATAACTCCGTACAACTCGGTATTCAAATGTAAAAATTGAGTATTATATATAAAAAAATATATATTATCGGTGTATGTTACGATTTGGTTCAACTAGTAACACTCGGTATAACTCGGTACAACTTGGTACTCGGTATATCTCAGTAAAACTCAGTATTTTCTTAGTATTTGTTACACTTATTTATTTCACGTAGTTTTACACAGAATAACTCTGTACAACTGTTATTTTCTTAGTATTTGTTACACTTTATTATGCAGGGATATATCCCCAAGATTCATTTTAGATGTCGGACTTCAGGATTTAGAGAAGTTTGTAATGAAATGGTTGAGAAATTTGGGGATCAGTTTGTTAGAAGCCTAAGTGAGCTACAAATTAACCAGTTCCTACTACTACCTCGGTTCCCACAGAATGTTCCTATTGTTTATATGTTATTGTCAACGTGGGACAACAAATCTGAAAGTTTTGTTATTAACAGCCGGACTTTAGCTTTCACATCTGATGAATTAGCGTTGATTATTGGCTTACCTAACAGAGGTATTAAATTTGAACCTGAGACTGGTACAAGTGCTGGAAAAATAGAAAATGACATAAGGCATGATATTCTGAAATTGGATTCGTCAACGCCCATTGAGATTGTTAGGGAATAATTTATTGTAGACTTATTGTCCAATATTTTCTTTCCAATGGCCAACTTCCGAGTGCAATCAACAATATTGGACGTTGCAAAAAATGTTGAGAACTTCAGAGCATACAATTGGCCCCAATCCATTCGGGATTTCCTTGTGAATGAATTTAATATAATAGCAAAAAAACAATTAAAAGGTCAATCATTAGGATATGTTAATGCATTTGTTATGATTATAATTGTGAGTAATTCTTCCACATATTACATTGTTTTATTTATATAGGTTCTTCCTTTCATACACTGATTTAGATTGTTTAATTTTTTATTTTAGATTTGGTTTTTTTAGCATACAAAGTTCCACCCAGTAGTGGATAAATTGACTCGACCCCGTCTTCTTCGTTGGGATGGAAAATTTAATTATAGAGTTAAAGATGTTAATAATTTACTAAAAAACCTTCAGGATTCTGAGGTACAATTCATATCTTCACTCATTTAACTTTATTCTGTACTTATATATTTTGGATATTTATAAAAAATTTGTTCTAGATCTTGACAAATTTACAAGAGATAACAGATTATGAGAAGCTTTAATTCAAAGTAGTTCAACATATTATACAGGAGAGCATTCGCAGATTGTGGTTACACCACTGACAACTACACATATGCCTAGTAGTAAGCCAACTCCATCTCTACCAGCAACTCCATCTCCAGCCAGTCCAAGCCCAACTGCTTCTCCTATTCATACTCCAACCGAAACTGAATGTCCAATTGAACAGCAAATGAACACTGATCCTACAATTCAATTGGTTAGTCCCACTGATTGTCCAAGTCCCACCGATTCTCCTTTCCAAATGCCAATCAACACTGATTTGCCATGTGAAACTGAATCTCTTATTAAACTGACCATCGAAACGGGAAATACTGAACAAGCAGCAATTAAGAATGATGCTCCTACCCTACCACAAATCCAAAAGGGAAGTACTGATATGCCAAGTCCAACAATAGAATTTAGAGAAGAAACTGATGCACAACGTACTGAACCTGAAGAAACAAATTTGAGGATTATCAATCAATCCATACATAAACTTTTTACTCAACATAAATATATGGTCAAAAAAATTTCATCACTCGAATTGTCCAAAATTTTGCTTGAAAAACGGGTGGAAGCATTGGAACATGAAGTATTCCAGTTAAAATCTGATAATAATAAAAAATTTTATGGTATATATAAGATATTGAGTCATCATTTTCCAGACTATTTCACGTCAGAGAAAATTGGAAGTCCGATTCACTCAATTTCAAGAACCGAATCTGACAACATTTTGGATGAAGTATCGAAAACTGTTGAAAAAAATTGTTGATGAAATAACAAAAGAAACAGACTTTAAAGGGATGGAAGTGGATGACAGACAATCTGAAGATGAGTAATTTACTTTCCGTTCATCAGGAAGGGGAGGAATTGCTCGAAGAGTACATCTCAGGAATGACAGGAAAAGGAAAATAGTTAAAACTCCATTCATAGCAGGTGATAGGAAGAAGAAGAAAGCTCAGTTGGCTAATGATGAAGTTGAAAATGTTAGTAAAAAGGAAACATCAATCACTGGAAGAAAACCAGTCACTCGTGCTTCAACAAGACTAAAAGAAAAGTTAACTGATACTAATAAAGCTTCTACGCCTAAAAACGTTGCTCCTTCAGCTGCTGTTATTTCTGATGCTGCTCCAATCGCTGAAAAACCAAAAACTGCAATTTATGATGACGATGATTCCAAAACTATAGAACGTCCGGCCATGGCATTTTTGGAATACCCAGGATGATTACTACTTAATGAAGAAAAGAGGAATACCATTGATAACTTTCTTAAGAAGTATAAAAAAAGTACATAGTTTTATTCACAATACCGAGTTGTACCGAGAAATAAAAATCTCGGTACAACTCGGTATTTAACTTTTATTTGCTTTTTTTTCCTATATGAACGTCAAGTACATGGTTTTATTCTCAATACCGATTTGTACCGAGAAATAAAAAACTCGGTACAACTCGGTATTGCTAGTTATTTCGTATTCACTTATCGATATTTTACTGTATAAACTGGAAGTACTCTATTTTTATACTGAATACCGAGTTGTACCGAGATTAAAAAACTCGGTATAACTCGGCACTTGCTCGGTACTTGGAGTTATTACTCGGTATTGCTAGTTATTTGGTCTACAATTACCGAGATTTTACTGTATAAACAGGAAGTACCCTATTTTTATACTGAATACCGAGTTGTACCGAGATTAAAAAACTCGGTATAACTCGGATTAATAAGTTTTTTCTAACGATGGTGAGAAAAATTATACAGGGAGGATACCATATTGGAGAATGGAAATGCAATTATTTTTAGAAGCCAAATGGACAAATTGTTGCTATGCGAAGAGCTTGACAACAATCATATGGACACTTTTGCATTTCTGTTATCTGAAAAAAATGACCTGGTTCCAGGACTGAACCAAACTTTTCTATATGTTTCTACTTTTCATTGGGTGAGTAATCATTTATAGTAAAGGTATAGTGTATATCATTAAATGACTGAATGGCTTTTTTTCCAGGGTTATTATATTCGAAATAAACAGGAAAATACAACTTCATTTGTGCGAAATATCACCCGAGCTGCTGTTAAGAATGCTAAAATTATGTTTGTTCCCATCATAAATGAAAAACATTGGACTTTGCTAGTTGCAAACATGAAGAAAAAAAAAGGGATTTTATGGATTCAATACCCAAAGCAACACACAAGGCTATTGCTCCGGAAGTGGTAAGAACTTAGGTTTATCTTTGGTTTAATATATTTTATTGAAGATAAATATTATAATTTTATTACCTTTACAGATATCTCATTTATACGATGATGCAAAATATGCTTTTGAGGATGATATAAGAACCTGGCCGATCCAACCGATCCCAAACTTGCCAACACAAGATAACAATGTCGACTGTGGAATGTTTGTATGTAAATATATGGAACAAGTTATACAAAATAATAATATTGATTGGGACATCCATAAGAACTGGCAAAGTAATATGGCCTTATTTAGGGCAGAATTTGCTTATGCCATTTTTGTAGTACGATAAAATAAATTTATAAATTTGCATATGATATTTTTGTGTTTCCTTTACTTTGCTGTGATTATAAATTCCACTAATACCGAGTATAAAATGCTAATATCGAATTGTACATTCTTATTCAGAGATCTTGATCACACTTACATAAAGGATGACTGACTTCCTCATTCTGCAGGTGTAAAATATAAAGTTGGATTAGGATTATGCACTGTTGGTTTCACTTTTTTTGCCTTCCTCTTCTCCCAATGATCCTTTAATCTAGCATTAGAGACCCCCTTAGGCCGGCACTTTGCAGAATCTCTAATTGCTTTGTGGAGCCCCTCAGTTATGCATTTATTTCTTTTTCCTTCCATAATGTTTTGAACATTTAATGTCAATGCACTCATACCATCTATCATACACTGTTCTGCATCCTCATTACCTTGAGCTTCGGTGCTAATTTGATAAGCATATCGACAAATATAATTTCTAAAAATCATGTTTTGGGAATCTTGATTCAATGTGCACAAACTCTTAGCCATACGTTGGACATTCAATCCACTATAAAGATCGTTCCTAGTAGTTGCTGACCATCTTGGAATTAAGTATTTCTGAGGAATATTAGTAACATCCAACTGACTCATCACTCTCATGCAATGAGAACAATGGATTCCCATCATCTCGAACTTTTTGCAGCTGCACTGTATAGTTCCTTCAGATGAACTAAACAAAATCGTCCACTTGTGTGAATCAAAAGTATGGTCTATATTTTTCATAGAAAATGTTGATGATTCTGATGAAGAGTGATCAATGCATAGTCCACCTAAACCATTCAAAAACTCCTCTTCAAAAAATGAATATAACTTTCTTGAATAAAATTTGGTTGCTTGCTTTAATATCGGACTTCTTTTCATGTACGGTTGTATCTCAGTTTGAGAACATCTAAAAATTTAATCTTGTTCATTCCTATGCCAATTGTTTATAAGTTTCTCCAATCCAAGGAAACATTTAGTGAGAGAACTTGTAGCCTTTGAAATACCATGACAAATAAAATTGGTGGACTCACTACATTGTGTAGACAATATTCTAAGGTTAAAGCAATCTTTGTTGAAAGCTGTAGACCACCTTTCCCTTATTTTGTACAGATCATTTAACCACTGATGGCTCTGTAAGTCTCCTTCGCTAATCATCTCATTCCACAAACTATCAAATTCCTCCGCGGAATCACACTTGGTGAAATAACTATAAAAAAGGCCTCACTTTGTTGTTACTATTAAAACACCAAACTTTGGAAGGAGCCTTCTTGTGTATATGCCATTGACACAACCGATGTCTTGTATTAGGGAATATAATCTCTATCGCCCTAGTCATTGCTTGATCCTGATCAGTGAATATAGTAACTGGATGTTTATTATCCATAATTCTTAAAAATATTTGAAATAACCAACAGAATGAATCAATTGTTTCATCAGATAGAAAGGTCATCCCTAATATAATATTTTGCCAATGATTATTGACTCCAACAATAGAGGCACATACTAAATTATATTTGTTCAGACGGTAGCTAGTATCAAAAATTATTATATCCCCAAAGCAGTCGTAATCCACTCTCCCCAAACCATCTACCCAAAAAATATTTACCAACATGTCTTTCTCATCAGTTTGCACACCCATGCAAATAGATTGTCCTCAGCTGACCGGTTTTTGAACAATTCGATTAGCGAATTGCTGTCCCCATTCTCAATTTTTGCTCTTCTCTCCTTTTGAATGTAGTTGTATGCATCTCTCTTGGTAAAGCCCAGATTTTCTACACCTCCAACCTCCTCGGATAGATAGGAGAATGCATTTATTGTTCTTATTCCCGCATCAGCCATTGATTTCAGAACAGAGGCATTTTCTTCAGTGATGTGCCTAGATGATCTCAGCAAATGTTGATCATCCAGTTTTGTCAATTCATGGTTATGTGTTTCTATCAAATTTTTCACCATCTATATCCCTTCTTTACTAACAGAAAATCTCACCATAGCAGGGCATCCAATTCTTGTAGTTGATTTTCTAAATTTAACCTTATGTATATTTTCTGTTTCCTTCTTGAGTCCAGATTTTGAACAGACAAAAAGATTTGATTTTAATTTCCTGGTACCAGGCCAGTATGAAAGATGTTCTTTCCGAACACTAAAGCCATGCTTATGTGCATATTGGCAATATTTAACATATGTTTCCTTCTCAAATTTGTAAACCCCCTGTAAAAAAAATTACAATATTCATTAAAACCACTGAATAATTCCCTAATAATAACATGAAAATGAAGAACTGTACCGATTATTTTATCAATACCGAATTATATATAACTCGGTACAAATATATGATATTTAAAATCTAGGGATATATAAGACATAAGTGACATAAAGATAACAAAAACTTATCAATACCGAGTTATAAGTATGAATACCGAGCTATACCGAGTTCTCAAAAATCTTGGTACAAGTTCTTCATAAGTATAATATCGATACAAAAATCAATTTCAAGTAATAGAAATTAAAATCTAGTTATATAGAAGACATAAGTGACATAAAGATACTAAAAAATTATCAATACCGAGTTATACGTATGAATACAGAGCAATACCGAGTTGTTAGAAATCTCGGTACAACTTCTTCATAAGTATAAAAATCAAATTCAAGTAATAGAAATTAAAATCTAGTTATATAGAAGACATAAGTGACGTAAAGATACAAAACAATTATCAATACCGAGTTATACGTATGAATACAGAGCAATACCGAGTTGTCAGAAATCTCGGTACAACTTCTTCATAAGTATAAAAATCAAATTCAAGTAATATAAATAAATATCGAGCAGTACCTACTAATAAAAAATCTAGTTACATTTAAATACCGAGTTATCAAAAGGTTAGGTACAAACAAAAATGAGAGGATCAGACGAAGATGGATGACAAATTGTAAAAAATAGGAAAAATCGTCATCCAAAGTATAAGTGCCAAATGTTTCATTGAAATCGTCTAACTCTTCCAAAGTAATAAAAGGTTCCTTCTCATCCATCGCCTTGAACGCTTCGCGGAAGTTTGCGTAAACCCTAAATACTGTATAATGTTCTGTGTACAGTAGATAATCGGCCAAAAGTTTACTCGTATAAGGTATATACCCGCGTGTTTTAAAGTTTTCCCGCCCGTTTCAACGAAATTAGTGAAAAGAGAAGTCAAATATCAAAATTATAATGGGTTTGGGTCGGGTCGTCGGGCTGCTACGTGGCGTTAAATTAATGGTGGATGAACCTATAGAAACATTCGGTTAGAGGACGTAATAATTGTTCGCTCCTCAGGCAGGTTTTGATATGAGTTCAAAATTAAAATTTTGGAATGACTTAGAATAATTAATACAAAAGAAACCTCTTGAAGAAAGTGATTTATTGGAGGAAATTTAAATGAATATATTGTAGAGTGGTAGATGATTTTAAAATTATTCATGGTGGCCATGGGTTTAGAATGACTAATGAAAGTGGTAAGACCATATTAGAATTTTTTTAGCTTATGATTTTTTAATTGTTAATACCTTATTTAAGAAAAGCGTTGAGCATCTCATCACTTATAAAAATGAATTTTTATAAAATAATTAGATCATTTAGATTGTAAGGATTATAAAGTTATTCTGAGGGAAAATTTATGTACCTAACATCGATTATTAATTTTGGACTTTAAGATAAAAGGGAA